TGATTGTTGAAATATATACGTTGGGTTTAAAAACACAGTGAAGAGTGAAACATTTCCAAAGGGTCAGAATCTTTTTCTTCTCTTTGTCATTTCTGCACAAACACTGATTGTAAGAGTCAAATATTTTCTTATTCTTTCTCGACGATTGTATTTGGTGTTTTTTCCGCCAGTAGGATGAAAGTAGCACAGATAAATACTTGTCCTGCGTGAGGAGATAAAACATTAGAATATATTCTAGTTCATTTGTTAGCTACAGCGTTCACCCACAGCCCCACGGCTCGTCTGCATCTCAACTTTAGGAATAAGTGAAAAGCTACGTTTGACCTTCGTCTGAATACGAAACTGAATTTAATTTGAAATAAATGTGGTTTGACTTGATGTTATTATTTTAAGGTTCAATACAGTTGGTTTCTATTATATATGTTTAATTTAGTAGCTGTTACATTCCAACTTATTTAGTTTCTTCTGTTATTGAATCATACGGAAACTACTTCTGCTTCTACCTTGTGGATAAAATGTCACAATCATTTCTCTGACTGTAATTTGACCATGGTTGATATTATTAATTCATGTCAGTATTAATATTAGTAAAAGGAAACACTGATGTTCGAGGTCACGTAGACACACGTTTGTTCAACACTCACAAATTCTATCATAATGAAATTTCATTATGTTTCCTGCAGCGTATTAAAGTGAATACTGTCGATCATACTATCATCACAACTCAGACGATCAATATCTGACTCGAAAACACTATTGGTTAGGAATATTTGGCCCCGCCCACTGAGGTTTAACTCAACCAATGAGATTCCGCCTCAGTAAACACACAACGTCGCCTCCGAATGTTTAAACCGAACACATTCTGGCTTTTGAAGCGAATTTCCCCGGAAAAAAAAAAAAAAAAAAAAAAAAAGAAAGCGACGTTTTCCTGCACCGACTCTGGAATGAGGTCCAGACGCTGGTGAAGCTCAGGAGGTCGGAGTGCGAATGTAAACCCACAGATAAACACCAACTAATATACAGAAGCTCTAGAAGCACATATAAGACTATTCACACCCTGTCGGCCATTCGTGTTGGTAGAAGAGATGAAACCTGGGAAACGGAACCTTCTGTAACATGGTCACTCGCTCACAGCTCCACCTCACACCCACGTCTTTGCTCAAGCGGTTTAAACACTTTTAAATACACGTGTAGAATATATACAAACAGTTTATGCTCCTGCCTGATTCCTTCCGTCGCTCCCAGAAAAATAGAAAACAAAGGGAGTTCTTTCACGTCCCGCTTTCTGTCACCGATCAGAAATGCGTCGGCCGTCTTTGTTTCCCAGTTCCCTCAGGGTGGTGGCTTTTTCCTTTTGAGAGTTTTCGTCGTGGTTCATCACGACGTCAAGAGGCTCCGCTCCAGGATTCAAGTTTTTAAAAATGAGGTGGCCACTTCTCCTCGTAGTTATTGAAACAACGCGTGTCCTCGTCGTGAGACTCCAGTCCAGTCCCCCCCCCAAAAAAATAAAAGAGACGGCTCGGCGGCCGCCTGGTTCACAAAGCAGCACGACGACAACCACGTGACCTTCGTCCTTTTTTTCCCATTCCCTCGTATTCTTTTCATTCTCGTGCTCTGCCACTTTATAAAGCACTTAGTGACAAGCCTGTTTATTAAAAGCGCTTTTTAAAATAAGTTGAGTTGAAGCCTGGTGAGACGAGGAGACGTGAAAACAAATCAATGAATGTGGGTTTTTTTTTTTGTGTTGATCGCCAAGCCGGTTGCCAGGTAGACACACGAGGAGGATTGTGGGTATTACCGATGGTGCATTCTGGGATTGGTTACTGACTGATTGAGCTCAAAGCAGTGGGCAGATGTCAGATGAGAAGCTGCGTCTGTCCTCCTCGTACGTCGTCGCCCTCCTCATCCTCTTTATAGTTGTCGTCCTTTAATCCCCTCCCCCCCCCCCTCGTTCCCTGTCTGTGCAGTAAATGGTTGATTGGAATGAAACACGGCCCCCGGTCAGGATGAAGGCGGAGACCCTCCTCTTCCGTCACAGAAAGGAGGTAGCGAGTAGCAGCAGCTTAAGAGGGTTTGGGCGTCTTCAGAGATTCCACTTTGGTCTCCAAGTCTGAAATCTGTGGAAACAGCAACAAAGTGGATGATGAGGAAATATAATATAATAATATAATATATAATCGAATCAAAACATCCGGGTCAGAACAACAAGAAGACAAACATCTGCAGTATTCCTGATCCACAGAGAGACCGGATCAAGATTCGGACTTAAAAAAAACATTTAAATGAAATAAAGATTAACAGGAAGAGTCTTTATACTTGAGAGGAAACACAAAGTGAAACTGAAGAAACAAGATAAAATCAGGTGGCTGCGTTTCATCACCTTTTCCTGCAGGTTGTCCGTCTCTTCTTTGTGCGTCGCCTCGCTCTCTTCTTCCGCCCGACGCTGAGCCGTCTCCTTCTTCAGATGCTCAATCTCCCTGCAAAATAAACACACACACACACACACACACACTTGAGTTTTGGTTTCACTGACTCTTCTCTAAGTTTTGTTGTTTCGTTCGTTCGTACTTCTGCTGGTACTCTTTGATCAGTCTCTTGGCTTTGCTGTATTTCCGCTCTAGGGTTTGGTACTGAGACTGGGTTTCCTTTAGGTGTTCGTCCACTGCCTGAACACACACACACACACACACACACACACAGAGTTAGTAAAAGTAAACAATGCATCTTTTTTTTTATTCTTAATGATTAAATATTCATCATTATCCAAAAAACAAACCCGCTCCCTGAAGCTTCCACTCACGAGTCGCCTCCTTCCTTCTCTAGTCAATTACCTTACACAGGGACTGAGCCTCCATCCAGTAGCCCTCCAGCTTCTCCATCCTCTCTTTGCTGTCCCGGATGTTTTGCTCCAGCTGAGCTCGCTCCATCCGCCAACGCAACTTATCCTGCTCCGCGTGAGCCAGCTGGAGGAGAGGGGGGAGTCAGTGTGGGAGGGAGGGGGAGGTGCGTGGGAGGCAGAGGGAACGTTAAGTCATCGTACAGCCACAAAAAGAACTGATGTCATGCTCGTGCACATTCTCCTCTGCAACAGAAGCTGGATATTTGTGTTTCATTGCTGCATGTTGAGACTGGACTTCACGGTCTTACCTTCCTCTTCAGCAGCTGGATCTCCGCCTGCGTTACAGCGTGTTTAATCTGGAGCTGTGGACAGAGGCCGAAATAAATCCCAGATAGAAGTCAGCGACCGATAAACTACAAGTGAAATAAATGATTTAAAGAACTAAAATATCAGTGGAGCTCACACTTCCACAGAGTTTCCTTAAATTAAATCAAGCTGCACCAAATCTTTTTACACATTCATGAATTTCAGTCCCCTACATGGGCCTGATTAGAGGAAAACAGCGTGTGGGAAACAATAAGAGTTATCAATATGTTCCTAAATAAAAAAATAAACATACCTCCTTGAATTTGTGGGCCAGCTTCTCAGGGTCCAGTTCCACAGGAGACAACATGTCCTGGTTCTCCGCCAGGTCGAAAACCTCGATGGAGTTTGGAAACACCGGACTCATCTCCTCCTCCTCGTCTGTTGCGTATTCACCTGTCTGCAGCCAGAGACGAGGGGGGGGGGGGTATGCAGTACTTATATATAAATATGAAGTTTTGCATTGTGTATTGCTTCTTTAGCAGCAGACATGAAAACAATGATGAGGACAACAGTCCCCTTATGAAATAACATTTAAATATAATATTTTCAAGGGAAAAGCTCCATCTCACAATAGTTTCTGTCTTTGTGCATCTGAAATAATGAAAGATTCTTTAGGATAAGGGTGAGGAGAGATAACTGTGTGAGAGTTCTTCACAATAAACACTGTCTGTTACACTCTCTGACCACAAGATGGAGACGCTGGACCAGGTGAGAAGCTACAGGCCATGTGGTGACATTCAGACGACATTTTGTTACACACACAGACACACAACTTCCTCTTTTCATTTCCTGCAGCGAAAGAAAGCCGATGATTTTGCCGACAAATAAATACATGTGGCCTCACACACACACAGTTTTGTGTGAATCGTGTTGTGTGCATGTCCAACTTGTCGTGTACCTCTTCATCGTCGTCCATGTACTGTTTGTATCTCTGCTCCATCATCTCTCTCTGCCACCTCTCCTGCTCCAGAGTCTGCTGGATCAGCTGAGCCACTTCGCTCTGCTCGCCAGGCTTCTCCCGGCCAATCACAAACCTGCAAAACGTTCAACGCACACCGGTGACGGAGCTGAAAACATCCGATATCCATCGTCCAGGTTCAAGAACTCAACACAATTCACAAACGATGTATTGCTCAAAATGCATCAAACTGCAAAACTGAAAACGTAAAAACACAAACAATCACAAACTTGAACTTTTCAGCACAAAGTGATAAAGTGAGTGAGTGTGTGTGTGTGTGTGTGCGTGTGTGTGTGTGAGAGACTGACTTGACGGTGCCGGTGGTGTTGCGGAGGACGGAGGCAGCGAAGCACTGAGTGACACCGACCAGGCTGGTTCCATCGACCTCCACGATCAGATCGTTCACCTGGATCCTTCACATGGTGACAAACATGACAATCACACACTGTGATCACTGTGACCGAGGAACCTTTGGGGAAATGAGGTCGGGAAGCCGAAGCACATTCATTACATCCAGCTATTGTTCACCGAGAAAACAGGCGGAGCTCGTTAACTCCACCTTAATCTACGTGTTGTTGTTTTCCTGTCTGCACCTGAACCCAACACGAAGGAGATTCGTGAGACTGGTTCCATTAAAGTCTCCTTCGATGTTTCCTTTCACCCTTAGAGAAAGGAAGGCTCCAACGGGCGGATCCTTCACCGGGCCCAACGTATCCCAGGATTCATTGCACTATGCTTCGATTTATGAATATGGGCTGTTCAAATTAAATCTGATTGATTGATACTGAAAATACAGGATTTCATGTCAGAGATTCTTGGGTCAGATTTCTTCCTGGGAGCAGGAGCGTGTGACCGTGTGTGTCGGACACGAGAGGAAGTGAGACTGTACCTGCCGTCCCTCTGTGCAGCTCCGCCCTCTGTCACCGTCTTAACGAAGATCCCCAGTTTCTCCAGGCCCATGTCAGCTCCTGCACCCATTCCTATGATGCTGATACCCAGGCCGTCACTGTCTGAGACACACAGACACATACCACGAACGCTACACATCAAGACGTGTACACGTACATCGTACTACGCGCTAACAGACGGATGTGTATTCGTGGTGTAACCCTGCTCAGACCAATAAATATACTTCGTTAAATATTCAAAGCTGCTGAACATCCGTCGGTTCTGTGGCTGTGACGCTTTAAGAGCAGCTGTCATGGATGGTTGCTGGTTCAAATCCACTGCCTCCAGAATTCCTAGCTGCTAATTAGGCTAATCTGCGCTAAATTCAATCCCATAAAGGGATTATGGAGTCGAGGCAGACAGACAGTGTAAACGTCCGCTAACAGCGTCCTGTCAGTGTGTGTGTGTGTGTGTGTGTGTTTCATAAGAGGCTTGACTGAGTGACTCTCAAAGATTGTAACGTGTGTGTGTGTGTGTGTGTGTGTGTACCTTTCTCCAGCTCAACAGGAAATAGATCCAGCTTCTCGACTCTCTTCTCCAGCTCGTACTCGGCCGAGGCGGCCATTGGATCGACGTCATCGTTGCGTCGGTCGTAGTCTTCGTTGGAGTACGTGGTGAAGACCTATAAACAGGGCAGAGGTCAAAGGTCAGCTTCTCTAGTTCCCATGAACACGCACGTTCATGCAGAGGGTGCGGCACGTCTTCTGTCACACTCCATCTGCACCTTTAGAATTCAGACTGGAGCCCTCAGGTTAGTGGACGACCCTCTGTACCCCCTGTGCCACAGCTCTGTGTGCTTATGTTACATATACATATTAAAATGCACCATTCTCCTCCGGCCCCTCTCATGAGACATATTCACCAAAGACACTTCCTTCCTCCCTTCCCATCCTTTCTCCTGCTCGCCATCTGGCCCCTCCCCCCTCTCTAAAAGGTCAGCAGCATCTGTCGCCCCGCTGACCATCTCTGTGATCACATGACCGGTTTCCTTGACTACCACGGGCTTGCCCACTGTGACATTGGCACGGGAACAGATTTGCTCGCCCGGTCTCTCTCTCTCTCTCTCTGTCCCTGTCTGGCAGATATGCTAATATGTGATATCGTGTGTGTGTGACAGAGTCCGTCATGTGTAGGAGGTGCTTGTTACAGTATTATTTATATTGTGTGTGTGTGTGTGTGTGTACACACACACACACACACAATCAGGGTGAGAGGGCGTGATTGTCAAACTCCTTCCTGTTGTCATATTTCCTTCCTGTTGAGAAACTTTAAAGCGTGTGTGTTAAAGTCTCCGTCTGAGCTCTGTGTGTTTATCCAGTAGTTTATAGAAAAGAGGTGGGATTCAAACCAGGAACCTTCTTGCTGTGAGGTGCTAATCACTGCACCACCGCGCCACCCTTCATTCAAACAGCGAAACAATGTAAAGGAGGTCGAACGTCTAGACCACTTCTCTGTGTCGGCGCTTTATAGTTATTGTGTTCTAGAGAAGAACTTCATCGTAACATATAGAATATATAAGATAAACAAAGCCAGGGTCGGCATGTCGGGCAGATTTGAGTCTCCGATGAAATAAAGAGAAATGCAGCCGAACATCACAAGGTTTTCCACTTATTGCAACAATAATATGCATTTTATTTTGGCGGCTGCAGCTCGGCTCATGTGACGCTCTAGAACGAATCTGAGCGAGTTTAAAACAGACTCTCCTTTAACTCACTAAACCTCCGGCCCCCGGCTCCTGCAGAGCCTGAGACAGACGACCTGAAAAACATGTTTTATTTAAAATCTAAAACCAGGAAATAGTTGAGACTTATATAGAATATAAATTGATTTAAGTGTAAAATGGTTTTAATTAAATGTTTCAGTCGCTAAGAGAAATCAAGAAGTCATTTGTGCAGTTGAGCAGTGAACTCTCATACTGAGCTTTACTCGTCCCCAAAGGCAGCGTCTATAACAGAAGAAGCATAAATAACTGTTTATTGACTCACATGTGCAGGACAGGAGCTTTAATAACTCTCGCTCTGAGGCGTCCGCAAACCAAGACGCCCGAGTGGACCGGACCCAAACACAGGACACAACAACTCTACATGTCTTTGACTTGACCGTGCCTCGTAAAATTGACAGCCACTGCATAATCTGGCCAATCACGAGCCAGCTGGAGGAGAGCCAGGCCACAGTCCTGCAGGAGGCGGCGGAGCCTCCAGCTCCTGAGGCCGAGCCGCCTCTCTGAACTCATGGTTGTGTCTTGACTGGAGGCCTCAGCGAGTCACAACCAATCACACGCACCGAACAGAACTCAGGTCACTGACAGTTGCAGTTTGGGAGCAGGAGTCGTTTGTTCGACACAACGTTGAGCTCTGGACACACAACCAGTGTGTATTCAGGAGAACTCATTCACCGCCACATTCACTTCCCTTGTTTAGAGTTTTACAAACAAGCACCAAACGGTCAGGATTATAATTTAAATTATAATTTAGTTCTGCATTTATCCATGCACCTGCTCCATGTCACCGTGTCCAGTGGAGCATCGTGTCCAAGTCGTGTACTTGAAGATGTCTGACTGGATTCAATCACACACTTTACTGAAATCAGAGGTGTCGGAATATGTCGTGTCATGTTCGTAAAAACTCAGCGTATGAAAACACAGAGGAATAATGTAGGAGAAGAACACGAACATGTTCCTGCATGAGGCCGATTGTTGGTTGAACGACGTGCAGAGAAGTTCGCCCGCATGTTTTTCAGCTTCTCTATGTTCTGTATTTTTACAGTGAAGTAGAGGAAACATGTCTTCCAACAACACACACACACACACACAGGTGGGACTGGCTTGACGTTTGCGGGAAGGTTTTCTCTGTCTGTCTCTGTCTGTCTCTGTCGGTCGAGGTGGGACTGTGTGTTGCAGACGTGAACGCAGGTTAAAATAAGTTCTGATGTAAGACAGCAACATATATATTACGCCGTATATCTGCTGGAGACGTCTTTGGGCGTCGGCGCTCTTCAGGGTTATAATTTGGCCGAGCTGAGGGAGCAGCGGAGGAAACATTCTCACGACTCCTGTTTGGTCAGTGACAGGACTCAACTGTCGTAGAAATCCACACGGTGTCCAGTCTGTCCACACTTCCCCCGGAGGATTAGAGACGAAGTTCGGAAACGCTGCTGGTCCCGTCTGTCTGTTGTCTTTGCAAATCCCTGATTTTACTTTCTCCACCATTGTTGCTTCTGGTTTGTGGCCCGGCTCTTTCTGCAGCTGACAACCAGATACTTCCTGTTTACACCAGCACACACACGTGTCCAGTGTCCGTGAGTGGTCGGTCACTGGCGTGGACGGAGATGGTTTCAGTTTGAGAACACTGTAGCAGCGTTCGTCGTGTAAAATCAGTTTTTCTTTAAACGATCTCAGTCTGGATCAGGTGCATCACTGAACATAAATACACACAGCAGGGGGGGGGGTCATCCAAACAAAGGTCTGCTCTGTTATCGGCCTCCCGTGTGTGTGTGTGTGTGTGTGTGTGTGTGTGTGTGTCCTTTCCCCAAGGACAACAAACACACCCTGCCACATTCCAACCACCTGACAGAGGTACACTTGTACTTCACAACTGAGCGCAGACAAATCCACTGAGTGTGTGTGTTCGTGTGTGTGTGTGTGTGAGGTTTTCTACAGCCTGCGATCGATCCACGATCATTTCTTCCGTCTCGTCCAGAGCCTCCGTGTCAGGGCGGCTGATAAACTCACGTGTTGCGGAGAGAGGCTGGAGGTCTGAGCGCTCTGTGTTCTGCCTGATGAAGGGACTTGTGACGTTAAAGCAACAATTAGCAACCAGTTTTGACACTGAACACCAGACATGCCCGAACAGAGAGTCTGCTCACGGCCTTTCTGTTCCCTGCAGCAGAACGAGTTCCTGGTTCAAATCCACTGTCGCTGGGTTTCTCTCACTCCGCACAGCGATGCCACGCTGGACGCTAACCCATGATCCATCTAAACATGAATTTACTGTGACGTACATGAAGACAGTTCCAATGAACTGATTCAAACCGGTCTGCAGTCGACTGCTCTGAGGAGCCGAGTGTCCTCACAGTGTGAAATATGGCTCTGAGAGAACACCTGTACATTCTCCATGACTCCAGTCCAGGCCTGTTCGATTTATCACTGCTACGAGCAACAACAACTATTCAACATCAAAGCTAAATCCACACTGCGAGAAACGCACATCACATGACCGCTCTCGTACAGCACAGCACGAGAGTCGGGGTGAGGGACCGCGGCTCCTTGTAGAAGGTGCGGCTTTGAAAAAAAGAATCTCAGCGTCAGTCGCACGTCGCTCACAGCGAGTGACGAGACAGACACAGAAGTGAAGGAAGCGGCTACAGGAAGTGTGATCCAGAAAACAGCAGAATCATTCTGACTCAAACATCCAGCGGCAGATTCTTTATCTTCAATACATATGACTTCTCTGTACTTCAGTACACGTCCCACATACACACTGATAACAAAGCATCACACCTGCATCATTTGTGTTCTGGTTTCAAACAAACAGGTGGTGCGGCTGCTCTGACTCTGGCTCGGCAGCGAACTGCAGCAGCTGCCTTCAGTCGATCTGCGCCGCCTCAGGCCACAGATCCACTTTTAGCTGCACTGTGGCTTCAGAGGTCGGCGGTTAAATGTTTCAAGAAAATGAAAAGAATTCATGTTAGACCTCAGGTCTGGCCCCCGCTCCACCGCGTACATGAGCGGACATGACAGGGGAAGTGTGATCCTCGCTGCCTGTGTCCGTCACACACACTGTCCTGCTGTGAGACGTCTCTCCAGGTCTGTCATGACGCTCTACACTCTGTTTGCTCTGCTGAGCTGTTCAACGGCTTTTCTATCGCTGCGTGTTGAGACGTGTTTCACGATCGGCTGGGTTCAACCAGCTGACTGCTGCAGTGAGGGGGTGTGCAGGAGAAACAAGCGATACAGTATAAGAAGAGCTTCTGCTAAATCAACACACACACACACACACACACACACACACTGTGTGAGCTACAGTCAGCAGGATTTACTGTGGGGAAATTAAAGAGCAAAAATCCCCCCATCAACACTTTGTGTGTGTGTGTGTGTGTGTGTGTGTGTGTGTGTGTGTGTGTGTGTGTGTGTATGTGTATGTGTGTGTGTGTGTGTGTGTGTGTGTGTGTGAAATGTTAAAGAAGGAGGAAGTCAGCCAGTCATTTCCGTCACATTTCCGTCTGTTCTCTTATAGTTTAGTTTGTGTGGTGGTCGATGGTTGAACACATATGATGCATATCTTCATGAGAACGTGTGTGTGTGTGTGTGTGTGTGTGTGTGTGTGTGTGTGTGTGTGTGTGTAATAGTTGTGACACTACAACAGATTATGATGAGAAAGAATAAAGACAGAAACTCCCTCACCTTGATTGGCTCAGTGCTAAATTGAATCTTCCTATTGGATGGCGCGGGCTCCTCTTCCTCAGGGAGGCCTGCAATCTCTGAACAACTGGTCTCCGGCTGATACGGCTCCTCGTCTTCCTCGTCCTCATCGTCCAGTTGGCTCCCCCCAGAGTCCTCCTCCCCAAGTCCGCTGTACGCGCTGATATCCACCAGATCCCCCTCCGAGTAATCCTCCTTCCTCGAGCCATCGTCATCGTTCTCCTCATCCTCTTCCTCCTCTTCCTCGCCCCTCCTCTCAAAGTCGGCGCCTTTCTCCTTCGAGGAAGGAGTAGAACCTGGAGGCTCCTTCTCTCCATTTTCCAATGAGGCATGAACCTCTGCCTGCACCAGCCTGGCTTCGACCTCGGACCCGTCGGCGGACCCGTCCAGATCGTCAGCTTGTGGCTCCCGGTCTGTGGCAGCCGCCGTACTCGAACCCCTGGCTTCAGTCACCGTCGACTGGGCCTCTGAACCTGGTTTGGCCTCTGAGGAGGAAGAGGAGGACGTGACAGCCGATGAGGAGGAGGAGGAGGTGGAGGAGTTGGAGAGCTGGTCTCCTGACTGTCTGAGCCCATCCTTCTCCTCGCTGGTCACCTCTCCTTCTGAACCTGCCACTTCCGACCGCTCCGGTGCTTGAGCAACTCCTGCTTTCTCCTCGGGGGCCTCTTTACCAGGAGGCATTGACTTTGCCTGAGAGATAGAGAGAGAGAGAGAGAGAGAGAGAGAGAGAGAGAGAGAGAGAGAGAGAGAGAGAGAGAGAGA